TACCTTCTCCCCCAAGCAACCTCCAAAATGGACAAACTATATATGAAACAATGGCTTTCAAGACAATGGGCAGGACAATGCAGATAGTGATTCCTGAGTTGAGAAGACAGAGCTGAGAGTCCAGAGGGCCCAAGGAGGTCAGAGTTCCCAAGTAAGGACAGCTGCTCTCTATAGAGAGCACCCCTCCAGCAGTCAGCTGAGTACTGGTCAGTTCATGCACAAAAGGATGATTACCCCAGGCCAAAGAACCACCTGAAAGGGGTAGAAGTTCAAATGCCTGGTATTCACACAGGCCTGAGGATAGTGCTGATACCATCAGCTCCCTGGAAAACCTCATGATTTATTAGGTCTTGATCTTGTCTCAGTAGTTGAACTTAAAAGTCAAAACAACATCCAAAAGGATCAAAGTATCTGCAAATAACTTGATTGCATTCATTATGAAGCTCAAGTATATTCTGAGGAATTCCAAAATACAAGGAAAGAGGAAGGAGGAGGAAAGAAGAAGAGGAGGAAGAAAAGAAAAAGAGCTAGTGGCTCACGCCTGTAATTCTAGCTATTAAGGAGGCAGAGATCAGGAGGATCACAGTTTGAAGCCAGCCCAGGCAAATAGTTCTCAAGACCCTATCTCAAAAATACCCATCATAAAAAAGGCTGGTGGAGGCCCTAAATTTAAACCCCAGTACTGCAAAGAAAAGAGCGAGAGCCCAACAAAGTAAAATTTGTAATGCTGATATTCATCAATAAAAGCAGTCTTGCACAGAAGCAGGAAGACGATCAACAGAAAAATAAAGAGGAGAAAAAGAATTAATGAAAATCAATCCCAAACAGACACAAATATTAGAACTAGCAGATGAGGCACTGAAACAAGTTAATAAAAGTATATTTCATGCTGGGGTTGGTGGCTCACTCCTGTAATCCTATCTGCTCAGAAGGCAGAGATCAGAAGAATTGCAGTTCCAAGCCAGCCCAGGCAAACAGTCAACAGATCCTATCTCAAAAAAACCCATCACAAAAAAGGGCTGATGGAGTGGCTCAAGTGTTAGAGGACCTCCCTAGTGAATGTGAAGCCCTGAGTTCAAACCTCAGAACCGCCAAAAAAAAAAACCGAACCAAAAAAACTCATGAAACTGTATGCCAAGCAGAATGAATTTTACTATCTGAACTTTAGTCCTCAAAAGAGGCAACTTTTGCATTTAAGCTCTTATAGATTGGGTTGGCAGAGTGGCTCAAGCAGTAGAGCACCTGCCTAGCAAGTGTGAGGCCCTTAGTTCAAACTCCAGTACTAAACAAACAAACAAAAAAAAGCTTGTTTGAATTGTTTGAATTTTGCAGATTGTAGCATCATGACCTTGTGGAGAGATGGAATGTTATAGACCAAGAAGTCAAGGTTAGATTGGGCTATCTTTCTGCAGATCCCACTATTGTACCTTTTATTACTGGGCTCTGTGTCTGAGGTAGCATTGTTCTGACTACTGGATAAGATCATAAAATGTATGATAGACCTGACCGACCTCTGACCCCTCTCAACCTTAAGGCTGGGAATGACACAGCACCTAATCCTCTAGGAAACTTCCACACCTTGTTTAAAAGCCAACATCTGAGTCTTGGGGAAGATTTTTCTGTCTCTTTGTAGTCTGTCCACTTGATGACCACACCTACCTTCCTTTGGGAGAAGGAAAACCTTGTGTACTCTCCTCACGAAGGACCATGTTCTTGGAGGACCCATGTCATTCTGGATAACTTGAGTTTCTGTTTTCAAGTCATGGTCACTCATGCCTTGACTTGGAATAAATTATTTTCTTGCTGGGTGTAGTGACACATACCTATAAGCACCATTCAGGAGGTAGAGGCAGAATTGTGAGGTTGAGGCCAACTTAGGCTACACAGCGATATCCTGTCTCAAAAAAAATTTTTTTTTCTTACTTCAAGGTTATTTTTTCCCTCTCTCTCTTTTTTTTTTTTTTTTTTTGGTGGTGCTGGGGTTTGAACTCAGGGACTACACTCTGAGTCACTCCAGTACCCCTTTTCCAGGTAGGGTCTTGCGAACTATTTGCCTGGGCTGGCTTGAACCATGATCCTCTCGATCTCTGCCTTCTGAGTAGCTAGGATTACAGGTGGGAGTCAGCAGCTCTCGGGCCCTCCCCCGCCTTTTTAAATATCTATAATTATATGTAATTACCCATCACTAAATCTCATAGAAAGAAATCCCTTTGGAATGTGATGCCTAGAATTTACTTCAAAGTGATACAAAAACAAACAAGTGGGTGGGAATGTAAATAAAATAAGATAGCTCAGAAGTTGATAAGCACTGAAATTGACTGCTGAGGATTGGAGGTGTGGCTCAAGCTGTAGAGGGCTTGCCTTGGAAGCGTGAAGCCCTGAGTTCAAACCTCAGTCCCACAAAAATAAAAAACAGAAAGAAAGAAAAAGAAAGAAGTTGAGTGCTAAGTACAATTCTCTCTACTATAGATATATCTGAAGTTTTCCCTCCACAAAGCAAAAAAACACTGGGCTGGGGGTATAGCTCAGTGGTAGAGCACTTGCCTAGCATGTGCAAAGCCCTGAGTTCCATCCCCCAGCACCACCAAACAACAACAAAAAGCCCTCTAAACCATAAATACTTCAGGTTGGATTTCAGGGCATACTAGAATGTAAGATTCATAAAGGCAGGAGGGTTTGCCTTGTTTTAGTTGTTTCTGTCTTCAAAGCCTAGAACAGTGACTGACACATAGTAGATATTCAATAAAATGTTTTTAAAAAATTATTGTTTTGGTTTTTTGTAGTACTGGGACTTGAACTCAGAGCCTACACATTGAGCTACTTGACCAGTCCTTTTTTGTGATGGGTTTTTTTGAGATAGGGTCTTGCAAACTATTTGCCCTGGCTGGCCTCTAATCATGATCCTCCTGATCTCTGTCTCCCATATGGCTAGGAATACAGGTGTGAGCCATCAATGCCTGGCTCAATTTTCTTTTTTCCTTTTTGAGTGTCTTGCTATGTAGTTCAGTCTGGGCTTGAACTTGAGATTCTCCTACCTCAACCTCCTCAGTGCTGGTGCCACCATGTTTGGCTTTTAAAAAAAATTTTAAGCATTTTGGGGGGAAGGGAAGAGGTGGCTTCCAACAATATATACACATGTGAGTAAATGTAAAAATGATAAAATTAAATTTAAAAAAGAGAACAAAATTAAGCATTTTAATTAGCATATATTAATTATACAGGGGGTTTCATTGTGACATCTCCATATATGCTTACAATGTACCTTGTACCCCCTCCATCATTCTTCCTCACTGCCTCCCCTCCTCCTGATCTCTGCCTGTCAAGTAGCCTTCCCAGCTCCTATTAATTTTTATTAATCAATCCCATACATAAAAAATAATTGCAAATATTTCATTGTGTTTATGTGCGTTTTCCCCATTCAGAGTTTTCAGAGGGAACTATGAACCCAAAATGTGAACTTCTAAGGGGAAGAAGACCCTTAAAGTTTATTCCTTCCATCATTTGACTTTTTTTTTTTTTTTTTTTTGCAGTACTGGGGTTTGAACCTGGGGCTTCAAGCTTGCTAGGCAAGTGCTCTACCACTTGAGGCACTACCCCAGGCCTTTTTATTAATTTTTCAGGTAAGACTTCACATTTTTGCCTAGCTGGCCTGGACCATTGAACCTTTTGTTTACACTTGTATAGTGTGAGCCACTGTGTCTGCCTCTAGAAGAGGTTTGTTTTTTTTTTTGGAAGCACTGAGGGGTTTGAACTCAGGGCCTCATGCTTGCTAGGCAGGAGCTCTTAATGCTTGAGCCACTACACCAGCCCTTTTTTTTGTGTTTTTTTTTCCCCCTGAGATAGGATCTCTGAACTATATTTTGTCCAGGTCTGGCTTCGAACTGCTATCCTCCTGACTCTGCCTCCTCAGTAGCTAGGATTACAGCTGCAAGCTACCAGTGCCCAGAATATGCAAGAGTTTTAAAAACAATGTTAGGCATGATGGCTCATACCTGTAATCCCAGTTACTGGTACTTAAAGTGCCCAGTTTGTAGTTACTACAGCCCTAGGAAGCTAATAGAAGTGCATTTGGCTATACTTGGGTTCGAACTCAGGGCCTCAAACTTGTTACACAAGTGTTCTACCACTTGAGCCACTTCACTAGTCCCCCAGGTGTCATTTGAACTGAGGCTCCCATGATGAGAAGAAGAGGCAACCACCTGAGAATTTAGACAGAAGAATGCAAGGTCAGGACGAGGAAAACAATGGCTAGAGAGTTGTATCCATCCATGTCCCAGAGGTGGGAGGTGTGATCGGAAAGCCAGGCTGTGAGCAGATCTTATAGGACTTTGAAGAGGGGAGGGAAGGACAGGATTCAGTCAGCTTGACAGTAGTTGTGTCACTGAGCGACAGAAGCAGCTGTCAAGAGCTACGCCGTGTCTTAGAGGGCAGGAATTTAGGGTGTATTGGATGCTGTAAATATAATGGCAATATGAGATGACAGGCCCTCTCTGCGCTTCCCCGCCCAGCCCCCGTCCTTGCTGCTGGTGAAAGTCAGTCCCGGCATTCCAGGACATTGGCTTTGGCCCAGGTCAGGCCATGTTAAGGGGTGAATGAGCTTTCACCTCCCCACAAACCTCTCTCCACCCCCATCAGTCGAAACTCCCTAAACCACCATCTAAGTAACATAGCTCTGCAAACGCAGCTTGTCGACAAATTCGTCACGCCCCTCCGAGAAGAGAAAGATTCTGGAGACACTGAGGCACTTCCAAGGGAGAAGCGACAGACCGCCCCCCCCAACCTCCCACCCCCCGCCCCCAGCTAAGATCTTGCAAACTACACAGTCCAGGCGGGTACCCTGCGCCGCGAAGACCGCCACCCGGGAGGAGCATGCGCATGCGCGGGCCCCGCCTCTCGGGCCAGGCGGGTGGGGCGGGCGCCGGGGCGGGGCTCGTGACGTCAGGTGCGCGCGTGGCTCCGGCTGCGCAGGAACAGCTGGTTCTCGCACAGGCGGCCGGCAGGCAGGCGGGCGTGCGGGCGTGAGGTTGCTGGTGGCCGGCGAGGCCACGCTGCGAGAGCAGCTGCCGCCGCCTGGCACCATTGCACCATGTCCGGGCAGCTGGAGTGTTGCGAGCGCGAGTGGCACGAACTGGAGGGAGAATTTCAGGAACTGCAGGTAGGGCCGGATGACCTGGTCCCGCAGCTCTGCTACCTGTGCTGCGGTGCCATCCCCTTCCTGCTACTACAGCCTAGGAGGTGGGGCGGTCAGGGCCCAGGAGGTGCCTCTGGCTAGACCATGTGGGTGGGGGCTGGTGATTCGCGTAGACCAGTCCCCTCCCATCACCCCGCGCTTCAGTTCTTCACCTTCATGGGGTGCTTGGTGGAAGCCCCGCGTTCTCCCGCGCTCTCACGCGTTCTCTGATCCTGCTCAGGTTCTCCTCTCTCCTCCGCACACCTCCATCGCTGCAGAAAGTTGGTCTGCGGCTCCTGAGGGCAAGTTCCACGTGTGTCCGTGTGGAAGAAGCGTGAGGGGGTTGGTGGGTGCTGGGGAAGCCCAGCTCCCACTGCTGCAAGGGTCTCTAGCCCTACCCTCTGCACTTGCTGTTGGCAGCTCAACTCTCCTTCCACGCTGACTGGTGGGGCAGTCCTCTCCTGCAGCTCCATTTTGGGCGATGTGCTTAGGAGCGGTTCACCTTGAACCCCTAGGATGTACTTGAGGATTAGGGACCCCTATCCCCTGTCTTTGGGGGCTCTAGTGTGGTGCTTCCTCTGAGCTGCTGCAGACTGAGTGTGGCGTTGTGGAACGCATCCGTCAGTTCTGACAGCTGGTTGCCTCACCCAGTGATAGAGGCTGCATCCAGTCTTCACCCTTCTGGCCCAGAGCCTTCCCTCGGGTGGGGCAAAGGGAGTGTTAGAAGCGTCCTTTGAGTGAATGGCATTGCAAAAGGGTGCTGGCAGGAGTGTCCTTTCTGAGAGGCCCAGAAAGGCTTCAGCTGCATGCTTTGGGGACTAGTGATTTCTCCGGAAACCTTGAGCTTGACCAGGAGGGACACCGGGACCATTTCTGGAGCTGTTCCCTCTCCAGCCATGGGGTTGTTTTCTCAGGAGGCTGTGTTGTGTTTGCCTGAAATCACATCAGACACTCTTAATGCCTCCTCTCCTCTGCTTAGTTGGCACATTGGCATTTTCTCTGTCCCTGTACCACCTGTCTGCCGTCGGCTTGTCCTCCTCAGTGTCCAGAAGAGGGGAGAGGAAGGAGCTTGCGGTGTGTCTGTGATGGGTCTTTCTAGACCTGAGACTATGTCTCAGTAAGGGAGTGGGGGGTCCTGGCGAGCCTGAGCGGGAAAGCAGGGTGCTGTTTCAGGCTTGTGCAGAGGATAAGGTACCCAGGACTGTCCTGTCTCTTTCTGGGCCTCTCTAGCATGTGTGGGTTGGGGCCTTCTCCTTTAGGACTTGGATCCCTTCCAGGGTTTGGGGAACCCTTTTGAAGTCTCAGCCATTCTTTCCTTCCTTCCATTTTTGGGACAGGGTCTTACTATATATCCCAGGCTGGCTTTGAACTTGACTCCTCCTGCTTTAACCTCCCAAGTGTTGGAATTATAGGTGTGCACCACCACACCCAAAGACTTAGCCATTTCTTAATGCTTTGTCCCATTGGGTTCTGAGGTCATGCCTAGTTATGAAGCTGCACAGTGGGTCTTGGGGTTGGGAGTAGAAGGGGCTTTCTGTGTGGGACTTTTGTTGTTTGTAATTCCTTTCCCTTGCCCAGCCTTAGATTAGGAGGGGTTGGAAAAAGAACCTATACTTCAGAGCTTTGCAATTAATCCAATTAACAGCAATTAGATAGCAAGTCTTGGCAGGCAAATGTTGCAGGAGTCCTGCAATTTGTTGTTATGTTCCTACTTGGACAGTGGGATGTCAAGATGTGTCAGGGACAGAGGAATCATGAGTTAATCTGGATTTCATCCCTAAGGGTTAAAGAAAACCCAGCTGGGAGGACTTCTTTAGCTATAGGGCAACTGGAACAGATTGGATCCTACTTTGGGGAAGAGGGACCCTATTGGTTGCAGGTTTTGGTGGTCAGCTGCTGGGTCAGAGGCCAGTGACTCAAGGTCATAGACTGGAGCAAAAGTACCATCTACATCTTGGATTTACAGATGAGGAAGCTGAAGCTTAGACATGCTGATTGACCAAGATGGGATCACACACTATTTAGGTAAAGTTGGGGCTAGAACTTAGTTCTTGAAATGTTGAGAGACTCCTGTCTCCTCTGTGTGAGAGAGCTTTGAACTCCTGGAGTGACAGTCTCTGGAATTACGTACATTGTGTGTGTGTTGGACAGAGACTCCCAATCAGAGACATTTACTGGGGAACCAAAGAGTAATGCAGGTGGTGGGGAAAGAGCAGACTGCAACTAGAAAGATTAACAATAGCAGGGACTTTTCTCTTCCATCAGAAAATTCTGGTCAATATAACTTTTCCAACATGTGCTTGAGAATTTGGGATTCATGGATTTCATATTTGCATCTTTCCCATTCTGGGTGATATATCATGTCTGTGTTTACCTCTCCTTCCCTTTTTGAAATGAAGGAAAGAGGAAGCCTAATTCTCAGATCCTGGAGAATTTGAAAGGTCTTTGGAATCCCCCTTCTTCACAAAAAAACAAAAGCAAAAAAAAAAAAAAAAAAAAAAAAACCCAATATAGTACCTGGGACTTTTTAGAGAGAATAGGATCATTGTTTTTGGAAATGACTATGATTTTCATCTGTCTGGACCTTAGATGGGCTCTGGGGAAAGTTGAATGTTCATGAAGACCTAGTTTTTGGGTGGTTGAGTTTTTGCCCATGCTTGTGAGTTGAGCATCAATCTGAAATCAGTACATGCCTGACCCCCCTGGCCTATGATGTGACCACAGAAGGTCACTTAGAGACAGTGGCAGGTGATTTAACGATCAGTTCCTACCTTGCATTACTGGAAACCTGACCCTGTCCCTCCCAGCTTAGGAAGCAGCTTTCTCCAGTGTCTGACCTTATAGGGGTCTTGTAGGTGATTGTAATAATTTTGGTTTTACTGCCAGTGAAAGGACATCCCTCTGGCTGCTGCTGTGTACATGAAGACCTGAGTTCAAGCTGCAGCACCACAAAACCAAAAAAACAACAGGGAGAGAGGCCTAGAAATAAGAAGGTCAGTATTATGCCATTAAAACCCTGTGAAATAGATCTTGTTATTCTATATTACTGTTGTTCCATTTTACAGAGATTAAGTTGGTTGCCTAACATCACGTGACTTAAAGTGCTAGAGCCAGGATTCAAATCCAGGCTGTTGAACACTAGAGTCCGTTCTTAACTACTACTCCAGGCAAATCTGTATCCCAGGAACTCCTGTTGGCCAGGAGCCAGGTGCTCACTCCTATAATCCTAGTTACTCAGGAGGCCCCAGTTCAAAGCCAGCCCAGGCAAATAGTTCTCGAGACCCTATCTTGAAAAACCCATCACAGAAAAGGGCTGGTGGAGTGGCTCAAGGTATGGGCCGTGAGTTCAAACCTCAGTACTGCAAAACAAAACAAAACAACAAAGTCTGACAAAAATGACAACACCCACCACAACAGCAAACCATGTGCTACATGGATTATCTTGTTTAATCTGAACATCAACCTCGCTGTTTTATGGAACAGTTCATAAGGAGACTGAAGCTGAGATATTTATCAACTTGAAAATCATGGAATCAGAATTTGAACCCAGGTCTGCTGTTTGACTCAGGTGCTCTTTGTGTCCCTAACACATTGGGCTCCAGAACTATCTTGATTTGAGGCTCTTAGCTGTAGAAGAAAACTTTTGAATTTGCTGGATCTTTTCATTCATATGGAGATTTTATACAATGAAAGTGACAGAAACTAAGCTCAACAGGTTTTAAGGCTCAAAGGGAGTTATTGGCTTATGCCTTGGGAAATCCAGTGGCAAATTTCTTCAGGCAAGGCTGGATCCAGGAGCTCAAAATGATGTCTGTGTATGTCTCTCCTTGTCTCTTTCTCTGAGTTTCATTCTCAGGCACTCTCTCCTACGATGTGGCAAAGATGGCCTCTAGCTGTCTCATGCTGACATCTACCAACTTAGCAAAGCTGGCAGACAAAGAGCATCTTCTCCCAACTGCCCCTTAGTTCCAGCAAGAGTCCCTGGGGTGACTCTCATTGTGTCAGTTTAGGTCATGTGATCATCCCTTACTCAAATAATCACTGTGGCACTGAGTGGCCAGGCCTTGGTCACATGTCTGCCTCTGGAGCCTAGAAATAGCGTCAGTGCCATCCATACTGTAATAGTGGGGTAATCCTGTGGAGGAAAATCTAAATGCTAGAAGAGAAAAACAAAGAGATGCTAGCCGAGCATCTCTCTTAGGTGGGGGTATGGGGGTTGGGGGGTTGGGGGGGTGGAGGGGCTGGAAAAGAAATGTCTATGTCTGTGGTTCTCAAACTGTGTGTCAAGGGACCTCCCCAGGAGCTGCAGAAAGCTCATAGGGGCACTGTAGGATAATTTAAGTTTCCAAGGGGAACATAGTGACATGTTGGACACCACTTAAGCTGCTATCTTGGGGACAGTTCTCATTTGCACATTATATCGCACTTTTTTTTTTTGGCAATATTAGGGGTTAAACCTCAGGGCCTTGAGCTTTCTAGGCAGGTATGGTACCACTCAAGCCACTGCACCCAGTCCTTTTATGTGATGAGTTTTTTTGAGATAGGGTCTCTCGAACTATTTGCTAGGGGCTGGCTTCGAACTGCAATCCTCCTGATCTCTGTCTCCTGAGTAGCTAGGATTACAGGCGTGAGCCACTGGCGCCCAGCTTGCATTGGTTATTTTTGAGGCAGGGTCTCTCTTTATGCCCAGGCTGGCCTGGACTGGGGTCTCCCTATTTGTGCTTCGCTGCATAGCTGGGATGACAGGTACATACCACTGTGCCCAGCCATTGCTTGAGATGAAGTCTTGTGAACTTTTTGCCCAGACTGGTCTTAACTCATGATCTCCTGATCGCTGCTTCCTGAGAAGCTTTTTGATATCACGTCTTGGTGACAGCACATGACCTGTTGTGCATAACTGACCTTCCAGCCTTTTCATCGCTGAGGAAACTGAGGTGGCAGACGCTGATTGGCACTCAGTCTGACTGCAGAACCTAATCACTTAA